CAACTGCCATACTGCAGTTTACTCTTTTTACAATATCTCTTGCCTTGCCGCCCCCAACTAGGGGCATAGAGCAGGCTCAAGTCGCAACTGCGAAACATTTTTATATCCAAATTTCTTTTTTCTGACAAAGAGTAAAGAATTAAATTGGGAGACTAAGATGGACCATTTCTGGCTTTTTTGCCTTCATCAGTTAGCCATACCCTTTATGGGATTCAAACCTGGGCGGCAAGTTGGGGGCGGCAAGGCAAGAGATATTGTAAAAAGAGTAAACTGCAGTATGGCAGTTGAAAATGTCAAGGTGTTCACAATCAGACCAATCTGTCTGAACTCCCTATACTTACTCCCTTGACTCTGCTGGCAAAGAGGGGAAGAGAACCTGTGGCTCAGTGACTAAATCACTGACTAGTATGTATAACTGCCCAGGTTTGAATCCCATAAAGGGTATGGCTAACTGATGAAGGCAAAAAAGCCAGAAATGGTCCATCTTAGTCTCCCAATTTAATTCTTTACTCTTTGTCAGAAATATAAGTATTGGAATTAACAAACTTTTATTAACTTCAACCATCCTAGTGTATTCATACTCACTTTCATACCTGACTCCCAAATACTGAAGCCAGCAATAGTGATTTCCAATTCAAATCAATAGAGGACATTGGATTATCATAAGTTCTGCCCCAACTAAGATGCTTGAGGAACTGGGAGATGACTGCCCCGATCAGCAAATAAATGAACACTGAAGAACACATAAGAATAAAGGTTTAAAGAAAACTTAAATGAAATTAAATGAAGAAATCCAATATTGCCATGTCCACAGTAACGAAATACCACAATATATTCTGTATATGTAATAATATATTCATTAGTTACCTTTCTATCTTGCTTTTCCTCCAATGTGATGCTCAAGGAATATAATATTTTATCTGCCATTTATAACTGCAAGATCCTCTTAATCTTTGTAAACATTTCGTGTTATATATCATACTTTCTTTTGGACTATCTACAGAAATGAAATCCTAAGAGCACCCTTCTACAATGACTCTTCTCCTTTTTGAGGGGATATTCATGGGCAAACAATAGTTAAGTCAATGTTTGCTCCAATGTGGAATGTCACAGGACTTATCTCTCTCTTCCCTATTACCTGACAGCTACCTGAAACTACTCAAAGAAGTCATCCATAGGTTTGGAATGAGATACTGACAGTCTCTTTATGACCACCAGTAACACATTGGAATCCTAGGCCATATGGACATGCAGTGGATGTGCTTCTGGGTGGATGAAAAAAAAAACTTCAACTATATGAATGCATTTTCCAGTTACTTTGAGGAGCATCTGCTCACATCGTCCTCTATGTGTATTCTAGGAGATTTTCAATCCTAAATTTTATAAGGCTACTCACCTGAAGAAAGTATTTTACTTTATTATGGAACACTTTGTCACCCAATTGCATCCTGCTTCCCCATCTGGTATTTTTGTTTGTTTGTTTGCTTGTTTGCAAAGTGGAAGAAATAATTATATTTAGATTTCGTTTCCAGTGCTATTGATGGACATAGCTACTTTTTGTATGTGTTTCTGATTATTTGATTTGGTTTTGAGTGCATTTTTTTTTATGATGGATTTTATATGGAAGAGTATAGATTACTTGGTTTCTTTTTGACTATTGCTATAAACTATTCATAGTAGTAGTTTGGCAGTGGACATAGTAAACCAACCAACCAACCAACCATCCAACAAATCAATAAAACAGATTTTAGAAATGAAAATTAACAGATGAAAATTAGCAGAATTTCTTTAAGACTAAAGACTATTGAATTATGCATATTTCAAAAATTTATCCACAATTTTTATAAACAGAATGTTTCAATTTTGTGGCTTGTGGGAGTTTCTCCCTCTCCCTCTCCCTGCCTCCCATCCCCTCCCTTCCTCTCTCCCTCTCCCTCTCTCTCCCTCTCTCTAATGCAGGCAACAGTAAATACATATGAGTCCAATTTATTTTCATAGGATAATTTAGATCTTTTTAAGATAAGTCTCATGGAAAACTATCTAGGTATGTGTTCAATTTACTTCCAGGAACAATAATTGTTGAGATCTTAGTAGATGTCTGATTCAATAACTCAAATAACTAGAGATCCCCAAAAACAGATATTGGAAATTTTGCCACATTAGATCCCAAAGAGCACAACCAATCCAGAGCTGTAGGCATCGACAAATCATTTTTTAATTTTATTTTACCTTACTTCTTTTATAAAATGTTAAAGTTTCTATGGGAGAGAATTGGCAAACATGTGGACATGAATAACAATAACAAGTGAATCTGCTACCAATTATTATAGTAGTTAATCATATATAGAAATATTTTAATATAGACATTTTATGAATGAATGTTATTGTTTTATTGTTTTGAATTTATACTCCAACTTTCTGTCTGTTCAAGTAGCTTAGCAGCATTAAAAAAACCCAAGCTCAATTAACATAGTTCAAATTAATTTATAATTCACATTAATTTAAATAATTAAGGATTAAAAGCATGGCAAATATTTCTTTTAACCATCATCCTAAATATTGAAGGAGCCAAATTCACTCTCTTGCAAAGCACATTGTCCTCAGTGTCTGTAGAAAATAATTAGGAACTTCCCATACAAATTTCTAATCTTACCTTGAATAATTTCAACAAAGTAAGTTGGATTTCCTTGTTTCTCAGAGTATAGATAATGGGATTAATTAATGGTGGTAGGATAGTGTACAAAAGGGCTGTCAACAAATCCGTAAAGTCAGAGGACATAGCTCTTGGTCTGGCATAAGAGAATGTAGCAGTAACAGCAAACAAAGAAAAGATTGTCAAGTGTGGAATGCAGGTGGAAATGGCCTTTTGCCTATTTTTAATTGATTTCATTTTGAACACAGTAGAGAGGATTAACCCATAAGAAACAAAGATAGATGAAATGCAGAAGGACCCTACAATAACTGTCACAGCACATATCAACTTCTTATTGATTGCAGTGTCAGTACAAGATAGGCTCAATAGCTGAGGGATATCACAGAAATATTGTTTTATAACATTGGACTGGCAGAAATATAATTTAAAGGTCTGTGTAGTTTGTATTAGTGCACAGATTATGCTGGTGATCCAAGAAGCTGCTACCATTTGAAAGCAGGCATTCCAGTTCATAATCAGCTGATACTGAAGAGGATAAGATATGGCTACATAGCGATCATAAGCCATAGCAGTGAGCAAAGTCACCTCAGCTGTTACAAGCATCACCACCAAAGCAACTTGAATAACACACCCCCAAAATGAAATCTCTTTATAATTTCTCAAGCTGTGGTCCAGGGATTTGGGAACTGTTGTTGAAATGTAGCAAACATCTACTAAAGATAAATTGACTAGGAAGAAATACATGGGGTTGTGGAGCTTAGGATTCTGAACAACAGTTGTGATGATGAGAAAATTTCCAGTTAGTGCTGTTAAGTAAATGGCAAGAAAAACTACAAAGTATAAATATTGTAGTTCTCGAATATCAGAAATCCCCAGAAGAATAAATTTAGTTATCTTTGTTTGATTTAACATTTCTTATTCTGTGGAGAAAAAGTACAAATATTGTCAAGAAATCGAAGCAAGAAAAATAAAACATTTTTATTGTATTTTACTCTAAATATGGATCCAGAGATGTAATTAACTTCCCAGAAATATGTAGAAGTAGGCAGAAAACAAACTGATTTTAATTTACTTACCACTTCTTAGCTTTTTCTGTTAACAATGGGAAAATCAAAAGGTCTTCACTTTTAAATATCTCACTTGGATTTCAAGAAAAAAATCTTGAAAATTCTATATACGTAGCATAGAAATCCAGAGAGAAAAACTAAAATATTTGATGGTGTTTTACAGTAATTAATTGGTTAAAGCAATTCTTTCAACTGAGAAAGACCAAAGTTTCTATCCCTGCCTTGAATATGTTGATATGTTCCCTGGAGGCATCTAGCATGTAGGTTAAGGAGCTGCCTGTCCTCCTGGGAAAAAAACAAAGAAACAATAATTAAATGGAAGCAACCCTGAACAGCAAAAAAAGAAGCAGAGAATCTATACAAAATGGATATCCACACAACTTTATCAAAAAGTGCTTGACCACTCACCCCAAGATAGTACAACCAACACAAGCCATAAAAAGGATAAAACTGTCATACATTAAATAGATCTCACAGACCACCAACAAGACTATTACAACCACATGGAATCAGTGTAGCATAACAAACCAACTAAAACTCTCAAAAACATCCTAAGAAAACCAAAGGACCCAGCAGTCCCAGGAGGAAAAAACAGGAGTCATCTACAATATATAGTCTGCAATATCCTCTACATAGGACAAACAGGTAGAAGAGTAGCAGAAGGCATCCATGAACACCAATTAGCAATCAAAAGAAATGATGAAAACTCTTTAATTTCACAACATATGGACGGACATAACCATAGTTTCAACTGGAAAACTGTGACTGTGATAAACAACTCTGACAAATTGACCATCAATAGACACATGGACACAAACAACATCTATATATTATGCAAAAGAGAAAATCAACTAGACAAAAAAGAAACAAAAAGTTCCAAACACCTATGAGCATAGATTAACACCAAGATTAATATCAGACTAACAATCAAGATACCCCAATCAAGGAACTTCCAACCATAGAAACCCCAAAACCACTCCCACCAACACTGACAAGGCAAGCAACTAAAATATAAATTGAGAGCAAACCTTACTCCTTACTAGCACTGATAGTGTTACCTACTTTGTGTAATAAAACATCTGAAAGATCTGCAAGAAAACAGCCAAGCTCAGAGAGCACCAAAGACCCCTCATTTCAACCCTGAGCTACACATATTCTCCTTTATTGTTACAAACTCATTCCCTTTAATTGTATCATTCAAAGGCACTTTTTTCACATGCACATACACCCACAATTAGGACTGACCTCACATGGCCATAATGTACTTAGAACAAGAAAGTAGAGTGCAAGTCATTGACTTGACAAAAATGAAAGCCTGGTGAAAAGGTAAGAAGTTGTGTCCCTGTTTGGAAAAGCCCCATGTAAGCACTCAAATTAACCTTGGGAGCATTAGGCTAGTGATTGTGATTTAATGCACATTTGTTACAAGGTGGCAAGTGTATACAAAGAGAGAGAGAACAAAAAAGGAGGAAAGAGGGATAGAATAATAGAAGATCAGATATTTGTTTGTAACTTTATGGGGTGAAGAGTCATAAATTTATTTATATTTGTTGTTATAAGGATCAGAACTCATTTATTTAAATATGTCCTTTTTTTCTTAGTTTTCCCTTTTTCTTTCTCTTTTGTCTTTCCTTGCAGTTTTTATTTCTGACCTCTCTGTCTGAGCTTCATTTATGTTTGCTTTTACTATTGTAATAAAAATGTTCAACACAAATATTTTTTAAAAAAAGTTAAGGAACACCATGTTCTTTCGTTAATTTATATAGAGAGCTATTTGATATATTTCACACCAATTTCTCTCCATCCAGGAACCTCTCAAATAAATATCTAATTATCATAATTAATAAATATGACATATACATGGATTTTAAGTATATATTCCTATCTGGCTGTTGTGATATACATAGTTTGAAACATGTCAGACATGACCAGAGATTGAAGTTCCAGTCCTTTCTAAGCAATGTCTGTTAAAAAGAAACAGAGTTTTCATCACCCAATCTGGCTTGACATTTCAAAGTCAAACATTATCATTTTGTACATTCCTCTTTTCCCATAGGGTGATCATCCTGTATTTAAGCACATATACTTTTCAAAGGAAGCCAGACATATTGTTTCCCAAAGCTTTAAAAAGCACAGAACATCTATAGGTATATTCTTGCACTTCATATTTTTTGTTGGGGATATATTTCACACTTCCAATGCTACTGAATACTCTTGGGAACTGATTAAATGGGCCCTGTGGTATTTTCAGACAGATGTATAAAGTGCAATTTCAAAGGGCACATAATGATTATGATCTTACCAAACTTATATTCAGAAAGCATAAATATATTACAGGATTATTGAAAACACCATTCAGATAATCTAAGATGTGGAATTTAAAGGTAATTTCTCTCTCCTTCTCAATATTTCACATAATAATTCTCTTTGAGCAATCTCACACATATTTATTTTGGAAGAATAATCCACAAGGAAAATGTTTCTATATTAACTTTGTGCCCAAATTATTCATAAAACTTGCTATTAATGCCTACTGAATTAAAGAGGGGCTAGATCCCATGGAAGAAGTTATTTAGTTGATGAAACAATTGAAAATATTCCAAAGGGTAAAGGAATATATTCACCAGATTGAGCTTGATGCCTGGTGACTTTATGGAATACCCATGTCCATACCCTTAATTGCTAAACCTGGTTTCTTTCTGTTTCTTAAGTAGAAGAAAAGGAAAATCCAACCGTATTTCAGAACTTTACATTTAAATTCCAACATCCATTAAATTTTATTGTTCATAATTATTATCTGATCTGTTGAAATTATTTTTACTCTTTGCACAGAAATACAGTAATCATTCTCAAGAAAAATGCCTAATGTAAGTGACTTCTCTACTTTTCTTCTCCTGGGTTTTTCTGATCAATTTGAGCAAAATGTGTTATATTTCACTCTCTTTTTAGTGATTTATATAGCAGCTTTGATAGCAAATGCTCTCATCATTTTAGCAGTGACTTTTCACCAACAACTTCATACACCCATGTACTTTTTTTTAGTGAATTTATCAGTTGTTGACCTTGGCTCTATTTCTGTCACTATTCCGAAAGCCATGATAAATGCCTTCTTGAACAAAAGAGAGATCTCATACTACGGGTGCATCACACAAGTATTTTCTTTATTCTTCTTCCTGATCTCAGATTTATTCCTCCTCACCGGCATGGCATATGATAGATATGTTGCTATCTGTGACCCACTGCACTATGAAACCATAATGGACAGGAAAGCCTGCCTTCAGGTGGCAGCCATTGCATGGATAACTAGTCTTCTTTACTCAGCCTTGCACACTTGTAGCACGTTTGCAGTCACCTTTTGTTCCAATGTTCTCAATCAGTTCTTCTGTGAAATCCCACAACTTCTGAAGGTATCATGTGATAATTCATACCTCATTGAAGTTGGAGTTATTCTATTCAGTGCATGCATTGTCTTTGGTTGCTTCAGTTTCATAATTGTTTCATATGTTCAGATTTTCAAATCTGTGCTTAGAATTCCTACTTCGCAAGGACAGAACAAAGCTTTCTCAACTTGCATTCCCCATCTCATTGTTGTCTCCTTGTTTATCACCACTGGAAGTGTTGCCTATTTAAAGCCTACTTCAGACTCTCCTTCAGATATAGATACAGTAATCACTGTATTATATTCTGTGGTTCCTCCTTTAATGAATCCAATTATCTATACTATGAGGAACAGAGAAATCAAAGTTGCCTTGTGGAAAATGTTTAAGTGTGACATTACATCAAGGAATCTATCATTACTTTTCATTTCCAAATGGTTTTCCAGCATTAGGGTATTTACTTTTAGAAAGAAAAACCAAATTCACAAACAAATGGCACAATGAAAGTAAATATCATGTTTATTTGTGCTGTCTAAAACTTTAATTTGGTAATTCAATTCTGTACATTCACTCTTAAATCCATAAGATGTACTAGTCCTTTATGTTACTAGATCAAAACTATGTCATTTCACTTTGGCATTTTAGCCGTTTTAACTGCCTTTAGTTTAAGTAGCTAGTCAAGGTACATCAACTTTCCCTGCATGCTTTGTAAGATGGAAAATGTAGCCTCCATTAATTTTCTTTGAAAAGCAAGGCAGATCTCATTGATTAGAATGCTTGAATAAAAATACAGGGACAGTTTATATTGGCTTTGCACAGATATTATATCCTTATCTCCATGTAGGTCTATATATACATTTCTGTATACAGTATCTCTAGTTATCTGATAAATATACTTAAATCTGTTTTGGAAAAAAAATCTTCGTAGTGCATTAGAAAATAGAATTATTGATTTATAGGATTGGAAATGAGCTTGGAGGTCTTCCATTTCAACCTCCTGCACAAAACGGGAATCCTCAGACCATCCGAAAGAATTGTTCCAAGCTCAACAGCCTCAACCTGCAACTGAACTCCTTTATGGGTATTGGGTATGAGTATTGGGTATGGGAATTGAGTAGGTCTAGTTTAATGAAAAGAAGGACTAGGGATGACATGAAATTAGTGTTCCAATATCTGCTGCCACAAAGAAGAGGAGATCAACCTGTTCTCCAAAGCATCTGAAAGCAGGAAAAGAAACAATGGATGGAAACTAATCAAGGAGAGAAGCAACATAGAACTTAGGAGAAATTTCCTGACAGAATAATTGATCAGTGGGATGACTTGCCTCCAGAAGTTGTGGGTTTTTAAGAAGACATTGGACAATCATTTGTCTGAAATGTTATAGAAGTCCCTGCTTGGACTAGAAGTTCCAAGATTCCTTTCAACTTTGTTATTCTGTTATTCTCTTATGTTACCAATGTCATTGGAT